GGCAGCTATACTAATCATTCAGCAGCAATAACCAAAGTATTTCCACATAAAACTGATTTAAATCCAAAATCAAACAAGCATCGGTTGTACAATTCTCAGATATTCGACTAACCCAACCTGTACATCCTAACAAAAAATACCTTACATACTCAGTACCAACATTAGATTTTCCAAATATGATTTAAATAAATATAAACCATAGGAACAAGTTTAAGTCCAACAAAAACTAGTATAGTGTTGCGACACAATTTTTAAAAAGTCATGTGTTGTTCTCCTTTTCAGGGCTGGGGAGCAGAGTACCACCGCCAAGATGTGACCAGCACACCCTGCTGGATTGAGATTCACCTGCATGGTCCGCTGCAGTGGTTGGATAAAGTGCTAACCCAGATGGGCTCACCCCACAACCCTATATCCTCCGTCTCCTAGGCTTCACTGTCCTCAGCCCTGTGGCTGTCCATACCCCAGCATTTTGGTCTAAGTAGCAAGAATAGGGGCAAGCTGGTCTCAGACTGGCTTGTGTTTCAGTCAGTAGTCCATAACTGATTGAGGTTTTGACTGAAACACAAACTGATCTGGGAGCTGTAAGGTCAGGCGGGTTGTTAAATGGGTAGGTTTGTTCTCTACTTGAAGGATGTCTGAATTGGGCACATTTACAGACTGGGAGAGGAGTAAGCAAAGTGAGCGTGATGCAACTGGAAGATACTTGATCTTTGTGACCAACTGTAATAATTAGACCATCACACTCATCATGACGCAAGTATCCTCTCTGATCTTGCTCCCACGACTTCTCTTTTTTCATTGTTCTATTATTCTGACTCATAACTAGTTTGCATCTAAATATTCCCTCGGAAATCCAGATATACGTGTGTAGTTACAATAATTATGGGACATTCCAGGCCGCCGAAATTGCAGTTGGCTGCTGTTTTCTGTCTGACTGTAGTGAGGTTGGCATGAAATGTACTTAGGAAATGTATAAAGTTAGCAGGGACTTGGAGGATGACCAGTATGTCTGAAAAAAAAAAGAAACAATCATCTCCAGATACTTCTTGTATCTGTTCTTTTTTTTTTAGGATAATAAATTAAAGCATTTAAAGCTAGTATAACTTTAAAATACAATCCCATATCACAGATCATGAAAAATAATATGAGGGCAAAATTTGGGGGGCGTTTGAGCGTTTAGGGCAGGGGTTTAGTGTGGGGCATGGCACTAAAAGGGCATTTCAGACATAAAAGATTAAAGTTTAAGTGTTGCTCATCTTGTGTTACACTTGTGTTTCAAATGAATTTTAAGAAAAAAGAATAGTGTTTAGGTATATTCACTATTAGAATATGTGCTGTGCAGTCTGGTTTTGCAAAGCATAGTTTGGTTAGTGTAGTGTTACACATTTAAGACTGGTAGCTGAATATGACATGAAGCAGAGGCAAACACAAGTACAGGTTAGCATGTCCCTGGCTGCACACTCTGCAGCACAATCAAATGTGTCAAAAACAGAGTCGCATTGAGGACATAAATATTTCAGTGACCGTGCCTCGTTCTCTTATTACAATGACTGAGCAAAACTTGTTAAATGGCTGTTACGGGAAAATGTTGAGCATTCAAATTTTAATTGTTGACTGAGAAAAAGGGTGTCAGCTGCTGATGTCCCAATATGATTTTTTTTTTTTTTTTTTTTTTATTAAATAAAATGCAGATGTTGCCATTCAATTCTTTTTGTGCTTTGAGCAATTCTCTTTGCTATTAAACTGTTATACTCTTTACATTCTTTTTGTATTTTTGAACATGTTTTTTTTTTTGTTTTGTTTTGTTTTGTCTGCACTTTCACATGTTGCCTCTTTGTTTTTTTTTTCCTTTCTGTTTTGCTCAGTAAAACTCCCAGAAAAGCAGTTTTATTCCATGAATATCAAGTCTCTACTGGAAGATTCAATAAATTTGTTTCATTACTTGCAACATTTCTGTCTCTTTTATGACCACTGTCTCGGCATGTTTGTCTTTGTGTGCCTGTCTGTTTAATTACAGGCCACCCATGCTAAGAAAATATGCATCGTGTATTGTCAGGGGCTTTCAAAAACATCGACTGCTGTGTGCGCGCTTGTATTACTCATGTTGTGGGAGCATAAATCTGTGTACACGGTCAACAGCATGGGGATCCGCCTCCCTTTTTGGGGACAAAAAGCAAGTCCCCGTAACGGAAATCATTCAATTTTTAGGTGTAGACTTGGTTTAGGGTTAGAATTAGACAAGTAGTGGTTATGGTTAGAGTCTCCAGGAAATCAATATAAGTCAACGCAGTGATGGAAACAATCATGTATGTGTGTGTTTGGATGTAGACCTTCAATTAGAGAGGCACAAAAATTATAAGTGCATCTAAAAGCCAACTGCACTGGTGTTCAGCGTAATTGTATTTTCCAGTAAATTGCATGAAAATGCATGAAATCATGGGGTTTCCTTTGTTTTATGGGACACATTGTGATAGTAGAGGAACAGTTACAACAGTCTTCCAGGAAGGTCTCCTGGAAGTCACTGGCTGGTTTGTGTGTGCGTGCAGCAGCTTCGTCTGACTGAGTGTGACGTGGGTGGTATGGTTGCACAGCGGTTAGTGCTGCTGCCTCCCAGGAGGTTGCATGTTTCTGCCAAATTCCTCAGACAAGCACGTCAGGTGGACTGGAGACTGAGAATCAATGACTAAACGTATCAGAGCAATCGCTTATCCCGGGTACCACAAACCTAATGTTTGCTAAAAATCCATTCAAAGTGTCTCCCTGCTTTTAGGCTGTTATATAAAGAGATGACAAAAATGGCAACAAGTTGGAATAGAATCAAAATAATTCCCAAGTCTGAGCCCAAACCCCTTTGAAACACACTCATTAAGGCATGATTGTAAAAGTGTGCCTGCTATAAAAGTTTTTCAGGAATATTTCAGGAAATTACTTTGAAGTCCTATCAAGTTGTTTTTTTATAATAAGATCAATTTTTATAGGTGCAGATTTTATGTAATTTCTGTCATTCTTTGTGTATTTTATGGTTTTGTTTATTGCTGGCATTGACTGTCCAGTTCCCACTGCTGTACCAAATGTTTTTTCAAGCGCCCAGCTAACTTCAATCTTTATAATTAAACCTTTTGGACCAGCCTCCCTGACAGTCCTCTTCTTAGAACTAATTGATGATTTATTTTTTTTGAACCGTGAGATGAGAAATACAAACATTAGGAATTCAAAAAGGAGACAGTCCCAACATGTGTTGTAGTGTGCTGTCAGGGGAAGAGTAACAGTCTCAGCAAGTTTTTGATACAAACACAGTCTGATAGCCAGCTCAGTTCATCAGACACCTGCTTTGAATCTCAAGAATAAAACGTATTATCTCTGAGGAATCTGATGTTTGTGAAAGCTCATGATTATTCTAAGGCCTTTTTGAAATGCAAAATAAGTCTTGACCAAGACCTTGTTTCCTTTTTGTCCTCTTTAACTTAGCATACATAAGTCCATCCATCCATTATCTATACACCGCTTAATCCTCATTAGGGTCGTGAGGGGGCTGGAGTCTATCCCAGCTGACTTAGGGTGAAGGCAGAGGACACCCTGGACAGGTCACCAGTCTATCACAGGGCCACATTTAGAAACAGACAACCAAGCTCACTCACATTCACACCTACGGACAATTTAGAATCACCAATTAACCTCAACATGGTTTTGGACTGTGTGGGAGGAAAGCCTACATAAGTGAACTTGGAATTTAACTTAAGGACATTTTGTCCAAACTGGCAGGGGTTTAAGATTGGAGGATTAATTGATTTATATTGGTTAGATTTTTCTGCAACAGCCAGTGTCATACTTTGTCTTCTTATTGATCCCCATTGACAGTTATAATAGTCAGTCTTTTTTCCAGGTGTTGGCCAATCAGAGTTTGCAGTGGCAGACATAGCTGATATATCTTTTTATTAAAAGATCCATTTTTATAGCTGCGGCTTTTATGCATTTTCTGTCACTCTTCTTGTATTTTATAGTTTTATTTATTGCTGGTATTGACTGTCTAATTCCCACTGCTGTGCTTAGTGTTTAAGAGACTAATTTTAATCTTTGTAATTATACCTTTTGGACCAATCTCAACAGTCCTGTCTTTAAAACTGGTTGATGATTTAGTGTTACATCAATGGGATGAAACATAAACTAGTCTTTACAATATAGGAATTCAGAAAGACAGACGAAAGCAGCATGTGGAGAAATGGTTCCAGGTACAGAAAAAACGTTTTTGTTTGTTTTTTTTTTTTTTTAATGCAGTAGCTTTGACACCAATAAACAGGCTACAATTAGTCTGTGAATCACAACATGTGCCTTCATGTCGCTCATTGAGATGATTTTCAAGTGATAGAAGCAGTTTGTGGGCTCAGATTTGATAGTGACACTGTGCTGCCACCTACTGGTGAAAACTGTCTACCGCCATTTTTAAATTTTCATTTCAAAATTACGTCACAGGGTTTTGTTACGAACTCGTATTCTTTTTTCGTGTTTTTGACACATTTGTTGTTTTTGTTTTTGTTTTTATTCATGTACTTTAAATATGTTATTATTTAATAAACGGAAGTCTTCTTGGGGGCGGCGTCCTACGTCACCGGAACCCGGAAAAAATTGAATGAAACAACGGTCCTGTGTAACCCGTAACTCCTCCATGTAGCAGCGAAGAGGTCAGAGTGAGTTTAACACTTTGTGGATATTTTGTTTAAACTATTAACAGCGTTTTTGACAGCTGTATCTAAACACAGAGTGAGTTACGAGCTCACGTTAGACTGAGTAACGAAAGCAAAATAAGCTTTACAGCAGCAAACTGTTGTAACTTCAACGTTACTGTTTGTATTTAAGGTTAGCTAACACAGCTAACAAGTCATGTTTCAGCTGGTTTTACTGCAAACCTCAAACACCTGAAATGGAGAGAATATATTTCTGAATCATTTTAGCTAATCAGTACAAAATGTTTTTCCTCCCAGACGCCCCACATTTGCCACAACATGGGACGGTTTGGCCTCTCTCTCCTCCGCCACATCTCTACGCTTCCCTCCTCCATCAGTGTCCATCGAGCCACCAGAACATGCTGCCTTCACCAAAGGGTCTCCGTGTCTTGCTCCCGCAGCACCAACCTCAGCTGCCAGCAGAGGACTGTGAGCACCGCCGTCAGCCAGCAGGAGCTGAGCGGGCCTGAGCAGAGACTGCTGGATAAACTGTATGGTGGACTGATCGGAGGACAGCGGGCGTCTCTGGCTGAGTCCATCACTCTGGTGGAGACTCAGCATCCCAGGAAGAAGGAGCTGGCCCAGGTGCTGCTGCAGAGGGTGCTGGCTTACAGGAGGCAGCAGGAGAGCTGTAATGGAGGGAAGCCAGTGGCCTTTAGAGTAGGTGTGTGGTTAGAAATGTTTACATGGGCATCATGTGTGAATTCAGGATGTTCCTGTCAGATGTAGCTTCGTCTTTTGGTTCCAGCTTCATCATCAGTGATGACTTGTAAGTGGACATGAGGCAGCTGACTGGCAGGTACAGCAGACCATGCTTTTACAGTAGGGTTGGCAGTTTGATTCCCAACTCCTCCTGTCCACATTTCAAAGTGTCCTTGCTGAAGACATAAAGCCTGACTGTCTTCTGATGGTTAGAACATCCCCTTACATTGGATCTCAGTGCCGTTGTTCATGTGTGAATGTAAGGAAAAGTGGGATAACATTGTCATATAAATGCAGTCTTCCTAGTATCTTTTCATCTTGTCCAGGTGTTTAGATTAATGGAGGAGTTACACAGTCAGTTATTAGAATTACAATGCAAATGCTCAACATTTATGAGCACATTCACTTTGTTACCACATGATGGTGAATATCAGAGGAGACGGCAACAAGGATTTGCTGATTCTGAAGTCACAGCTGGTTTCTTAGTAGATCTTAGGCAGCCCTGACTCTACGGATATTCATTTTCACAACTTCATCCCCAGATTGACCCAATAGGGGACCCAAGGTCCAAAAGTTGCTATCAGGCTCTAATTAGCCACATTTGGTGCTTTTGGACCAACCATGTGGGGTCTGAGGAGTCCCAGACAGTAACTCCGTACCTTTAAAGGCCTTTTTCTGTTTGCCTTCACACCACTAATGGGACCTCTTCAGTGACATACAGTTGGTATAGCAACGCCACTTTCAATGGATTTTTTTAAATGGCGGTTGGTGTTGCTGATGTTTGACCAATCAACATGCTCTGACAGCCCTCAGTGTTCCTCTTGTGCTGGGAGGTCCTTGAAGAAGGACCTAAAAAAAAAGACCCTCTAAATAACTAGTACTAATACTACTTCTAATAGTTCTACATATATAAGTTGTAATACTTGTTCTAACAGTTATTTGAAGTATGGAAGAGTTTCCCTGGTCCAAAAGCACCTGTTAGCATCAATAGTCCTCAGTACCTGCAGTTTTAGGGACTAATATCCAGGAACTTCACATAAAACTAGAGCTTTCTTAAGCCCTGTATTGTCTACATTTCCAGAGCGGTTTAAAGCCTCATGAAGATAGGAAAATTAGTCAACAGGCATTTCAGAAAGTGTCAGCAGTTTTACTGCAAAATCATAATGACTTAAATGAAATCCTAAGATAGACCTGCTCATTTTGGAGCACAAACTCAAATCCCCATTGGATGTCTTTCTTGAAAAATTTCTGCAAAGTGTGGATTTCATCAATGGTCCGTTTGTCAGAGACTTTTTATGTAGCTGCATGTTGTTGTATAGAAGAACAGTCAAGAACAAAAACAAAATTATCTTGTTGCAGACTTTTGAAAGTGTCTGTTGAAAACGCTGGCTTAAATGACCAGTCAGCAACATTTAGTGCTGCGAGTCTGATCGCTACTGTTGTAAACTTTACCAAAGCAGTGTCCTTTGTGCAGGGACTGTTTCAGGTATAGGACACTCTTTGATGCTGTTCCCCACCGTAGATTCCCATGTCAAACTTTAAAAACAAAAGCAACAACATATCCCGGATGTTTCTAAACACAGAAACAAGGGAGTCTCCTGTATATTATAATGCTACTATACATCTGTTATAAACATTTTGTGAAATTATTTAAATATTGTTTTCTGGAACAAATTCAAAACATGTTGCCAGATTTTCTAAATTGCCCTCAAATCCCAAAGTGACGGGTTCAAACATCACAGAATTTAAGTTTTGTGATTTGATGTGTATTGTGAAACACACTGTGTCAGTAGCAGCTGACATATTCCCTTACGTTTTTGTGTTACCAGACTTATAGCTTTGTTTTTTTGTTGTTGTTTGTTTGCTTACTAAATAACATATGATGCTGGTAACAATAACTGTTTTCCTTTTTGCTTTTGTGCTTTGACAGCCATGTATTCAAACCTGTAGGGGTTACATATACACTGCTTAACTCTAAGTGTGTTATAAAGTTAAATGAAGTAAAAGAACTTAGCTCTTGGTCCCATTTGTTGCTGATTTGGTGTTTTTGTTGACTCCTTAGGTCTGTCCGGTCCCCCCGGAGCAGGGAAGTCCTCGTTCATCGAGGTGGTGGGAAAGATGTTGACCGGACGAGGACATAAATTGGCCGTGCTGGCTGTTGACCCGTCCTCCTGCACCACAGGAGGTAACATCCAGCGCAGCTTGTCGGTTGTAAATACTAAAGAGATGAACAGTTGTATCTGTGTGCTTTACGTTGCACAGTAAATTCTTGTGTGAATTCTTTTCTTAATATGTAAAGAGATTATTTTTTCAGTCAGTTCTAACTATGTTGTTTATTTTTTTTTTATGTATCTGAAAAGCTGGAACTCTATAATAACAAGCAGCAGTGTAAACTAATGAGTAATGTGAAAATGTGCCTCAGACTGACTCATCCCTCTTGTTGCAGGATCTCTGATGGGCGATAAGACTCGTATGACTGAGCTCTCAAGAGACATGAATGCTTTTATCAGGCCGTCGCCCACCTCAGGAACACTCGGTGGTGTCACCAGAACAACCAATGAGGCGATTGTTCTGTGTGAAGGGGCGGGATATGACGTCGTCCTTGTAGAGACAGTAGGTAAGGCGCTGTCGCTGTGAGGTGAACCTCATTTTCACCCTCAGAAAACATTGCATTTTTATCCTGAAAGTATAGATGATAAAGATGTTTTTGACGTCCTGGTTTTACCCTGTTAGCTAATTTTTTTAAACTTTCACAACACATAGCTTTTTTCTTTTCTTTAATATAAAAATGCAAAATATATTTTTTGGCAAACTTTGTATATTTTTTTTCCATTCTTGTATTACATTTGTCAAACAGGAAAGTAGATTGAAAGTGAAACAGTGTCTTATTGATCAATGTGGGACTGCAAATTGATGCAAAATATTTCAATAGTGTCGTCAGATTTGTACAGTTAATGTTTTGTTGGACAAAAATAGGCCAAATCCCAGTAATTCATAAATGTTAAGCGCATCTAGAACTTCGCCTTACAAGAAGTTTCCATTGTAGTATAAAAAAGAATAAAGAGTAACAGTCCTGGCAAGTATTTGTCCTAATTGTCAGTTCTGAGTTTTTAGTACTCAGTGATAGAAACACAATTTGGTCAGTGTGAAATACGATAGCCAGCTCTATTCATGAGGCACCTGCTTTGCATCTCAAGGATAAAATTTATTCTCTGTGAGGAATCAGAAGTTTGTGAAAGCTCATGATTATTCAAAGGCCTGTTTGAACTACTAAACAAGTCCTGAATGAGACTTTCTCCTCTTTTACGTACTTTATTTATCACCTTTTGGTTATAGTAAAAGCATAAGCAGGTGAACTTGCAATGTAACTGTTGGACATAACATTCATATTGGTGGGTAGAGAATTTAAATTAAACATACTTGGGTGGTCAGTGATTTATATTAATCAGATTTTTGTGCAAGACTTATATTGTTGATCAGCAGTGATGGTTAAAATATTCTTTTTTTTTCTTTTTCCCAGGTGTTGGACAGTCAGAGTTTGCAGTGGCAGACATGGTTGACATGTTTGTGCTGCTGATTCCACCAGCAGGGGGCGACGAACTCCAGGTCAGTGAGAAACATCAGCAGCAACAAACCTGTCAATGTCAGGTCTTGTTTCATTTGTTAGGAACCGGGAAAAAATAGTTAAGTGGTTTTTGGGTGAATAAATGTCAAGGAAAACTAGTCTGACAGTTTAGGATGTAGGTTTTGACAGCTGGAATACTTCATTTAAGAATTAAAATGTCCATTAATTGTGCTATGCCTTTACATTGATCATGTGAATGTAGTAACATCAGATTCACCACACAAACCTTCGTAAAGGTTGGTACATGGTGCACAGTAAGTCTCTAGAAAATGTTTAAAAGTTAAATGAAGAGGTTTTATATGCTAAAAAAAAACTACTGTGATTTCAGCTTATTATTGTACCAGTGATTCCCTGAAATATATAGTGTGATTGTATAAATAATAATGCAGACTGAGCTCATGGAGCTTCAGAATTAAATTGTTTCATAAATACATTTATGACTTCACATTTTAAAGTAGAAACTGAATTTTATGCCTGCATTTTTTTGTAAACATAAACATGCTGACAAAAAGTATATGCTAATCAGTTTATTAATTAGTAAAATTAATGACTTCATTAGTCCACCTCATTATGATTAATATTATGGTGATTATGGTGGGACAATAGGTAGCAGAGGTGGCATTTGTTTTAATTATCCTAATTGCTTCTGCTCTGGAAACACATCGCCATAGAAACATGAGAAAAGCTACTGATTTATAAATCTAATTTTAATAAATATGCTTTATAATGTATAAACATGTGTTATTCAGATTCAAATGTTCCCAGCAGTATTAACAAAACTGTCTACAAGAAAATTTCATAGCAGTGTTTCATTAGATGTTCTTTATTAGGTAATTACAGAAAAATCACACTTGGACAGGAAAAAAACACACAAACAGTAGCAACTATGTTAAAATTCTCTGCATCTACTTCAGCGTCACATCACCAGCTGGATACAAAAACTTGAACTCAGACTACATTTCAACACGTGAAAGGCAGTTTTTATTGTAACTGTTACGAAAACTAACCAAACAGAAGGCGACATCAGTGATTAATGGAAAGAAAGTAACCATTTAGGACTGTTCAAGTAAACTTGCAGCCCTGAAAACAGCCGAGCACAGCTCCATCCATCCATCACTCTGCAAACAGATCCCTCAGGAGATTAGGTGTCTAGACATCAGATTTATTTACAGTGTTTTGAACATTTAATGACCCTCCTGTCTAATGCCAAAATCTCTGTCCAGGGTATCAAGAGGGGCATCATTGAGAAGGCCGACTTGGTGGTGGTGACAAAGTCGGATGGAGACCTGGTGGTGCCGGCCAGGAGGATCCAGGCCGAGTACACCAGCGCGCTCAAGCTGCTCAGGAAGAAGTCCAAGTCCTGGAACCCGAAGGTGTGTGTTTGTGTGTAAGATGATGACTGTGAGGCAGTGTAGTGAGGTAGGGAGCCAACAACAAAATGATTAGGCCTTTAAAAAAAAACGAAAAAAAAACGTTTGACCTACTGAGCAGCAGCAGCAGAAGTATCACTGCTTTATGGGCCCAACAAGGTGTCCCGCTGAGAGGTCAGCTGACCCAGGAAGAGGAGGCGGAGGAGGAGGAGGTGGGAGGGGGATGAAGATGATGATGATGGTGATGATGTCGTCATAGCATCATAGTTTCAGCTACTGCAGTGTCTCACCCCACCCTGTACGTCCCATCTCACCCGTTCGCCTGCCTGGCCTTGTCCCTTTGTTTTCCCGGCCCAGTGCAGCATCTGCCCACTGGGCGAGCTGCCAGGAAACACCCCCCAACCCCCAACTCCCGCCGCGCCGAATGCTCCACTGCTGTGTCATGCATTTCGCTGATTAGAAGCCTGCACATTCACATAAAGCTGATGGGCTTCTCTTATAGCTCCTCTTTCTTTATTTATCCTTACCTTGGCTTGCTTGCACGTATTCGTATCTGGCTGGTTTTCTTGATGTGCTTCAGTCTGATTCTTTCCACTCTCTGTTTCTCATCTCTGTAGCTCTTCATTTTTACTGCCAGCTTTGCTTTGAATGAAAACATGACATGACATGAACATAATTTGATGTGTTTATTATGTGAGGGCTAATGTTGAACCTATTAACTTACGAACAATTAGAACTTACTCTTATTTTTTTCAATCAGTTAATGCTTTGGGCTATAAAATGTCAACAAACTGAAAGAGGTACCAAATCAAAAGTTCCACAAGAACAGCAGGTTAATTTCACAATGAGATAAACTGACAAGAAGAGAAACCCTTACATATGAGAAGCTGGAACCAGAAAAAGTTTAGAATTCTCGCTCACAAAAAGACTCAAATTAGCAGCTGATTATCATAATAGCTGTTGATTAATTTTCTCTTGACGAAATGAATAATCTAAGCAAGAATGAGAATTCTCAGGAAATTAAAAGCATCTAATCACCTTCAATCAAGTTCGTCAGTAACATGGAAGTTTCTCTGCTATTAAAAGGGCACTTAGCCGATTTTACACGTCAGAGTAAAGCTACAAGTAACAGGCAGTATGACAGCCTGGGAAATCAGTGTGCATTAACACTTATTCACCCTCAAAAGCACTGTATTATGTGATCCTCATTTGTTCCGTTGGTCATGATTTTAATTGTTCTTCACAGGTTTTTCATTGGGCTTTTTGTAGTGTGAGAGCCCTTTGTAGTATTGGTTTAAAACGTTTGACTTTCTTAAATTACTCCTGATTTCAGTTAGAATTTGGAAACTACAATTTTTACTTTATAAAAAATAACTGCATAGAAACATATTTGAATGGCATTTACAAACATGTAAGGTTAAAACAAAGCTCCAGACAGTAGCGTTAAGTCGGCTGACCGAGGTTACAGAAACATTTTCTCGCCTCTGGGGATTTGTGTGTTAACGATATCCTTAAGGGACTAATTTGCTGAGTGAAAGTAGATCCAGCAAAAAACACTGAAGACTCTGTAGTTTGTCAAGTCTAAGGAGGTATGATGACAACAGCTTTAACATCTTTCAATGCTGTGGGCACCAACAACAAGATTCCTCTCACCTCCGTTGGTGTGGATGGAACATTCTCAGAGAAACGTATCTGAAAACCTGCATAAAAACAACTCCTACCATCTGCGTGGAGAGACACTAGGAGGGGTAAGCAAGACAATATGTGTGTTGCACGTTTGATTTCCTGTTTTTGCATCAGACTAAAATCCAGTTCTTGCGAAATTATTAACTTAATGATGTAATTATATGATTTTTAATTGGCTTTTGATCACAGGCCTCCAATATTTAACAGGCTGCCATGTTTAACTTGATTTGTCAAATTATCTCCCAATTGAGGATGTGTGAGGTTTGTTTTACATCAACACTGAAGTCTTTTCTCGTCTCTCATCTCTCCAAACCGCCTGTCTCTTCTTTATTCACGAGTGTGTAATGACGTCATAAAAACAGAAGCGTCTACATAGTTTATTTCATGGATTTTCAGTGTACATCTGAATAAATACCTTTGCTTCTTTGTATTTCTGAAGCACTTTCACTTCTGTGTCTGCTTTAAAAATGAATGTTTCCCCGAATTTCATCATGTGTTCTTGAATCTGTACGAAGCTCTGAAGCGAGACATGCAGTCACTTGTTGAAGTACTAATCACATAAGTGACATTTATTCCCAGTTGCTTGTGTGAACAAGGTGTTATGGGGAGACAAACACCCGCTGTTTGTATTTTGACTTGACAGCTTCTTGCAGGATGGAGGTACTTCGGCAAAAACAACAACAGCAAAAGAAAAGACTTAAACTTTAGAAAAAACACAAAATTAAAAAAAAAAAAAAAAAAAAAAACCTTCCAGAGTCAGTTACAATGACTACATAAAAAATGTTCTTTTATTATTAAAACAAAGCTGAATGCAATTTGTCAGAAGCCTCAAGTTTTTGGCAAAAGTCTACAAATCTACTTTGTATTGTGGAAAGTACAGCGTTTCATCTTCTAACTGCTGTATTCAGAATTTTGTGCATCATGCAGCATATTTCTGAGACTATAATAATAATATGATTTTTTTATTTGGATACCAATTTTCTTGCTTCACAAAGAAGTAATTAAAAAACAGCCTTACAACAAGAATAACAAATTCAGGACTCCATGTTTTTAGTTCCTAAAGGGGACGGTGCACATTAATCAACACTAATGTCAACCTAAATGTGCTGTTGTTAGTTAAACACTTTATTTGCTCTTGTCATCCAAAAAACAACAAAACCTTAAAAATATATATATAAATAAATAAAAAATTGAACACTACAAATGTCCTCACAATCTCTACAATACAGTAAAATCTATGTATCATTATAAACCAATGAACCCACAAAAGGAGGGCATATCGAAGCAGATTTTAACCTTAAAAAATGTATTTTTTTTAATTTATTGGACAGTTCAAGAAGGGGCCAAGAAATCTATATGTCATCTCAACTCCTTCCTTTCAGTCCTTTGTATGATGCATTTCATGGGGTTTTCTGGAAGTCTCACAGAAAAAGGCAGAACATTTTGCTGCCCTTGAATATTGCAATGCTCAACTCAGGCAACTGCTGTTGTTTTCCTGGGGCTATCGTCCATGACTTTGACAGAGCAAAGTAAAAGAGGATGTGTTTCTTTCTACACCATCTTAAACATGAGACACAAGTGCGTGACACATGTGAAACTTTCAACACTGAATCAAGTAGTGAAGGCCCTTTGCTGGACCTTTGACATCCTCAGACTGTTCAGTTGAATCGCCCTCACTGTTAAAAAAAGAGATGCTTTTTATTCACACATGCTCCCCTCCACCCCCTTCTACTCCATCCTCAGGTGGTGCGCGCCTCCTCACACACCAATGAGGGCATCCCAGAGGTCTGGGCTAAAATGGAGTCGTACCGGGATGCCATGTTGGCCAGCGGTGAACTGCAGGGCAGGCGCAGGGCCCAGCAGAAGGTTTGGATGTGGAGTCTGATCCAGGAGAGCGTCCTCAGCCATTTCCAAAACCACCCCAGTGTCGGAGAGGCTCTGCCCCACCTCGAGGAGAGGGTCACCAAAGGAGTCATCTCTCCAGGCCTGGCTGCTGACTTGCTTCTCAAAGCCTTCTCTTCCTCATCATCATAGTAATCCATGGGACTGCACTTTTTTTTTGAGAAGAATGGATGCCTCTTAGCTGATCTGGGCCATTCAGTGCCAAGTAAAGCAGGACAAAGTAAGCATATGTGACCTTGACTCTGTGGTTTGCACAAAAAAGAAGCAGCTTTGCTCTTTTTAAACATAATTTTAGATTTAAAAAACCTGAGATACAAGACACCCCTCTGCAGAGACTTCAGTGTCTGAAAGCTTTAATCCAAATCACAAGAGAAGGAGAGTGCTGACTGTCGTCACTTTTCATCCTTGACTTCAAGACACGATCACATTTGGCAAAATGAAACATTTCATTTGTGCCGTGAGATGTGAGCTGAGCGATCAACGGGCTGAAGAAGACGCTGGGACTTTTATTGTTGGACAGGAACACTCCAGACCTTCATGAACTGTTTTAATGAGATTAGTAAAGGAGGAATGTAAAGGTCATGTTGGTACACTTGAAGAATAGCTTGACCAATATCCTTCATTTTTACGAACAAGGTCATTAAACGGTGAAACTATGACTCGTCCGTGCCATAAATATTATGGTGATGAATGCTGTAATGGAGATGTGAACCGTGATGGGCCATTTTCACTGCCAGTCTCGCACACCTTCGTCGTAATCAATCGCACACACTGTTTGTGACCCAAAAAGGAAAAAGTATCAGTGAAAGTATTAGGCTTAGGGAAATGGGTTTTGTCATGGTCACCTGTATCTGTTGTGGAACTGCCTCGGATGGTGCTCTAATAGCTAATTTTCCTCTGAAGAGCAACAGCACTTTGAAAATGTGTTTTTTAATTTGCTATTTTGTTTCTGGGTGGAATCCTATTAAAGAATGATGTGAATCTTAAATGGATAAGTGAATAACATTAAATCTGTCAGTGCAGTTGGCCGAGCTTTTCTCTCTCCTCGTGTTTGCTCTTGATATGAAAAAAGGGGGAGTGATTAATGTTACCTCTACGAATATTAGTCCTGAGATTTGTCACAGATTTAATGAGATTTCTTTTCTGCTCTCCGGAGCCAGAAATGTCAGTGCTAGGTATCCTCTGAATGAGTCAGCTGCACGCTTACTTCTAATTCAGGCAAAACACACTTTAATATTTTCAGAATTGACTTCATAATGCACTGTACTCCCGGACACCACCGGAGAACCGAAGACAAAGAAGTCACACACTCATAACTCCAGTGCAGCTCCTTTTATTATTTAAGGAGAGAGATAACGCAGTAGACTCTGGTGTCGGTGACATAATCTATAGAGGGGCATTTTCTAATTACAGAAATCACACTTATCGGTGCAAACAGGTGTGTGGTTAATTCAAATACATGTATATTTTTTTAAAAGTGGAAAAAGATCCGAAGTTGACATCTGAAGATTTCTTGTTTTTGTCCAGGAGCCCACAAATGCGCAGTTTATGATCCTGTAAAAGAGAGAAAAGCAACAAATTCCTCCCATATCCAAGCTGGAGTCAACAGAATTTGTGGATTTTTGCATGATAAATGACTTAAATAATGAATCAGTTATTAAAATGTATATTTTTTCAGATCAACTCATTGTTTAATCATCACATCATTTCAGCTAAAATGCAGACACGGATCATAGTTCAGGAGTTTTTTATTTCTCTTTTTGTGTTCATGGTGTTTTTATATTAAGTCACTACATGAAGCAACACGATTTATACTGTAAACCAGACGGTACAATTTGTGAACCACGTAATCAGGAAACTGACTCAGAAGTGTTGATTTAACTCCATGGTGGTTTTCTGGAACTATATTTATATTTTTGATCTTGTGCTGACTTGCTGAATAAAACATTTGTTTATTAAAAGAAAGAGTGTGTATCATAAATAAATGCTAACATTTCAAATGATTTTTTTTTTTTTTAAAAGTAACACAATCCAGGAAACATAGAACAGATAAACTTGGTCACGAGCGAGTTTAAAGGTGTTTTGTTTTTTTGTAGCTAATGTTTAACCCTCCTATTATGTTTGACCCCATTCAATGGTTAACACCTCTTAATAAGTGATTGACATCATTTTTCAGTTTTATTTAAAGGGCTATTTACACATAAACTTGAGTCACAGTTTTAATTATGATAATTTCCTGGAGGTTTAAATTACTGGGGTCAAACTGAACCCAACGATAAAAGATGTCAGTACATTTGAAGGTAACAGGAGGGTTAAGAAAATGAACGTTCAATTGCTGGTAGAGTTTCTTTATGTTAGACTAACAATGCAACTGTATACATGTTGGTGCTTTAGTTATAAAGTGAAGATCTCAATCCTTGGGCTCTTAGAAGGGAGAGTTTTCTCAAGAAACCTGAATTTGTTCTGTTTTGTTACTTGCAGAGTCGCTGTACTTTGAAGTAAACATGAGGTGAAACAAGACCTGAGCAGCCTGCTTCATGTCAGCGGCAGATTGTGATGATTGAGGTTTGCTCTCATGATCCAGTTCGACCACCCTCTACAATTGGAGGTTTGTGCTTTCTTCAGCCACCAGAGGTCTCCCAAATACCGCCCAACTCTGGATTCATTATCTTAATGACTGGGCCCTCAGTGCCAACCACCCTCCCCTTCTTAACGCCCCCGCCTCCTGCCCTCCATCCATTCTTCATTGAGGTTGCCCAGGGTGCCAGGTCACTCGGAGGTGAGGACATCAACAGCTGCCACTCTCCTAGAGCACAGGCTGTACTGTAGTCCCAGCCCTGTGTAGCAAACCCTCCTCGGCCAAATCCTCACTGAAAAACACAGAGCGGCGGTGTTCGGTACAGTGCAGAGCAGGAGGGTTGAGTGTGTCACTGCACGGCTTTCACCCTCTCTTTGAAAAATCACCTGCATTTCAAGGGAAAAGATAGAGCAAATTCAATACTAATCTGCGCTCGTCCTTGCTTTGGAAATACTGAGTCTGAGCCCCCCAACCGCTGGACAGGCTCCCAGGTCGCTGCTCGTTTGCTCCCGCCTGCGTACGAGAGGAAGAATGCCCCTTGAATGCAGATGGATTCATTAGGTCTGAGTAACACCCTTCTCCTCCATCATGCTGACACAAACACATACACACTGTAACTGCTCTGGCTTTGCAAGAGGGAACAGTGAGTCCTGCAGCTCTGGACGCTCTCCACGCACACACATTCATGCATATACGTATACACACAGTTGTCTCCAGTGTAAACAACACCATGCGGTTTCACTAAGGAAGATTAACTCAAATGCTGCTGGATCGTGTTCGGCCATCTTAGCCTAAACACAGGGCCCGTCCACATGTGTTTAGCATTTTGCTGGATCTCTTGAACGTAAGCAGAGGACAGAGACTGGCTCTTTGATGAGGTTTTTTTCATGTTTAATGGAGGGGGCTTACATTGACAGCCTTTTCTTTGTGTCAGCAGTCTGAAGTCAAAATGCTTTCCTGGTTCAGGACAAAACTAAACGGTGCCCTCACACTGGTGGGGTTGCAGTCCAAAAAAACTCAGCTTTTCCCCCTCAACAAAACCTCAAAGTCTGGAATGAGTGCTGAAAAATGGAGCTGCTACAAATGTCAGTAAACAATGCAGGCATACTGAAGCACGGGCAGACATCTGTGTTTTCTTTTTTTTTCCTCTTCTTGGCTGTATCGGCATTATAGTTTGGTTGTTTTCTGGTCAGATCAGAGCGGGAGGGAAGCCTGACACTAAGGGAAATGTCAGACTGGCTCTGCTACCAGGCTGATTTGGGAGCTGTGTGTGTGCGTAGTGTGACAACCGGTCATGGGCTGCTGATCCACAAAGCCTCAGCCATCCCTGCTATGTTTGCTCTGCTCCTCACACACAAGCACATAACATCACACTCGCCCACCCTCCTCCCCTCTTTTTACACACATGGACGCCCATCCAGCTCCCCACCTACACATCTTGTACATACATACAAGCCATCCATCCCCTGTCACACAGACACACACACACACACACACACACACACTCTCTCTCTGGCTGCCTTGTTGCCCGTCCGGCCGCTCCGACTCGGCTGGCTGCGCCGCCGTTCCTCTGTAGTAAAAGATGAGTGTGTGAGAAGCATTTCCTCCAGGCTGGGCCTCACTTTCAAGACGGCCACAAAATGATACGAGGAGCCACACGCTAATGGGGTTGGAAAGCTGCAGCGAAGCCCTGAGCACGAGTGTGCACGCTTGTAGATGTAGCACCCCACTCATTATGCTGCCCTGATGGGTCACTGTGCAGCCTCTTTATAAGAAGACTCTTATGGCGACATGTCTTATTATATCAACCGCTGAGATGGATGTTAATACTAGGCTGCGCTGTGCATGCTGCGTGCTCTCTAGCCTGTAGAGTGATGAGACGTGGTTGGTATTCAAAGTGCATCTCATTGCATGGGCTAATTCTATTTAACCTGGTGAAGTCTGCTAGATGGTACGGTCAGAATGCCCCAGGGAGGCCAGTATGTACCTCTGCTTTATTATGCACCTGAGGAGGCTCGCTCTCCCACACATGCACACTCCACTGTTTGCTATGTGTAATTTACTGGGCAGCCTGTGGGCTAGGCCTTCATCTGCAGGAAGGCGCGAATAGAGCCTTGGCGCCAGTAATTGGACTTTAGAACTGATTGGGGAACTTGATTGACCCCCGGTAATGGATTTGAGTGAATAATTATTTGTAGTTATGGTTGGAAGATGATATCAGGGAGAGAGAGACCAATCCCACCAGTGTGACTCACCCCTGCCGCCAGAGCAGAACGCTGCCAGCACTCAATTAATGAAATCCAGCTGCTCAAACTCCCCACGTGTAGTGGCTGATCAAAAAAACACACAGGGGTCTGGTCAGAAAAAGGGTTATCTTCATCCAACCTTTCCCTTTCGCACAACTGGCAGCCTGTGGCCCATCACAATAGTGATTATAAAATCTTCTCCACTCCAGGTACAAGACATTAAGGTTGATAATGTCTCCATTATTTTTTAACTGCCTGTGGCAGTGCTCAGCACAGCCTACGGCGGCCATGTTAATGAGACCTCTCAAGATGGCAGGCAGCGCCTCCTCAGGACACAAAATGCAATCACTCTTAATCCAGCACTTTAATTGCTGGCCAAGCCTGCCTAAGTGAATTCAGCTGTTCCATATCTGCAGGCGAGTGGCTGCACCTCGACAACGCTTCAGTATCATACTCGCAAAGATAAACTGGGCTTCAAAACAAATGGGAAGTGATGCGAGGTGGTCTGTCTTGTTAAAACTGAGGCTTACTTCTCTTGTTTGAGGGTGTCCGACAGCAACCGAGAAGGGAGATTTCCTCTCGTCTTCCTTCGCTGCCTTTATGCATAATTTTGAGCTCTCTACAGAGGCTCGATGAGATAATATGCAGGAGAACAGCAGCCACCTTCCTTGCCTTCCTCCTCTTTTATCTTCCTCTTTTTGCTCCTTGATTGACCCACTTGCTCCCACATCATTATCCTCACTGTTCTCCTCACCACACTACATTTTTCTTTACTCCCTTCTTCTCCCTCTCACTCTCCTGCCTTCATGCTTCCGTGAGTCCTCCTGTCATATGTCCCTGTCCCCCCTGCCTCCTCCCCCTCTCTCCCTCCGTGTGACCCCTCATTGCCCTCTTGCCAGTCTCTATTATTTCTGGCTGCCCAGTGGCCTGGTCAGGCTGGTGCTCCGCGGCTCCAGGCAGCCCCTGTTATGACAGGTAACACTGGGCCACACACTCTCTCTGGTAACACGTGGAGGTCAGCCTGTCATACCTGTCCACAGCTTCACCGTGCACACACATGCTCATGTGCGCACACACACACCGATGCCATGATTCACTGTGTATGGATAACTGCCAGACAGCCCCGGCTGTAACCTTAGATTCAGCAAAAGTGAGCAATGAGGCACAGTGCAGTAGAAATGCACCTTTCCCCACTCTCTTCCTTTGTGCTCGCAAAACAATGTCTTTTTTCTCTAAAGGTCTTAGATGATGTGTTGCTTTTACAGCCTTGGCAACCAGTAGCTATGCTGTGGTTGTTCGTGTTTAGCACAGAGGAGGAGGATTTAACTGGATAGTGGCTGTTAACTACTGCTAGACTCCCCTCTCTCCTGGCATGGCCTGCTCCCCGTGTTAATGACCACTCACAGTTGCTGCCCTGAGGGGGCTGGAGGACAGAGTCAGCCAGCATCAGACCCTCACAGCACCTCCAAGACCATCTGCTCCAACAACAGAAAATATGCTCTGCATGCTATTTGTCTTCTGCATCCATTGTTTTTGGCTTGTAAGAAGAAATGTCAAGTTAAAATTTGTTTCATTCATAACAATTTTTAATGGGATGGGATCACACATCACATCAGTGCAGGGTCCAAGCGTGCTCCCCAAATGTATTTCCTGCTCGTGATGTCTCATTTCCATCCAGCTGCCCTCTATCAGCCAGCGAATAGCCAAGTTTTGTAAGGTTCAAGGCCAGTAATGAGAACAGTCATCCTCTACCCAACAGAACAAGCTCTATCCACCCTGGACAAGATGGTAGCGCCCCAGCAGTCGATCAGCGGTTGTTGTTACCGTGGCATGTTCCTGGCTCCCTGTCTGATCCGGGGCAGCGCCCCACACTACCAGGCCTGTGAGGGCCAAGGGGCGGCATGGGTTTGTCACGCCAGGTTGACATTTCAGGGAGCTTTGCCAGGATACCGCAGCACATTTCGTCCTCCTGGACAAGTGGTGTGGGAGCGAACGTGTCAACTCAGGCAGATGGGCAGGCGTCAGTGCCAACTGCACTGGACTGTACCGGACCACTGGCCTGGCAACTATCAGCCAGCTAGCCAGACGTAGCACTTCCTGGCACAGAGTGGAGGGGCAGGTGTCTCCCTCTAG